ATATCTATATAATATTTTAAAAGAAAATATTTTAATAATCTAGTTTAAAAAATTATTATATATAAACTCTATTTTAGATAATACTTTAATCTAGTAATTAGATTTATCTATATATACTTTTTTTAAATAGTTAATTAAAATTTAGTTTATTTTCTCTATTTAGTTATCTATTTATAGATATTAAACTATAGATAGTCTTTAAATAATCTCTTTTATCTTATAGAATTTTATTTAAAACTTATTTATAAAAAGAGTATTATAATTATTAATAATATTAGTAAATATTTTAAAATAATATTTAACTTTTTTATAGAGAATATAAGCTAGATCTAATACCTATAGAGATTTTTTAATAGTAATAAACTAGGTAATTTTTATATATTTATCTATAATAATAAAGATTATATTTACTATCTCTTTACTTAAAATCTAATTTTTTAGTAGCCTTATAATAAAATTTAAATTAATTTCCTAAAATAAATACTTTAGTAGAAAAAATAATTTAAATAAGCTATAAAGCTTATATTTTAGATATTATATTCTTTAATACTTTAAATATATTTTAATATAAGAATAAATATCTACTTTTAAGTTTTCTTAATAAAACTTTTATTTTAAAAGCTTTAAAATCTTAAAGATCTTTATATAATTAATATAAAAGTTATTATAATATTTCTCTAATAATTCTACTTTTAAAGCTCTTTAATTAAAAATAATAAGCTAGTTTTTATAAAATAATAAACTACTATTTTTATAAAAAGAAATATTATCTTTAAATATATTTTAAATCTAGTTTATAATCTTTTAATAATATAAATTTACTTTTTATAGATCTTTAACTTTTAAACTAAACTTTTTAGTTAAATTACTTATTAAAATATATTTTAATTTTATAATTTCTTTAGCTTTATATTAAAAAGTAACTTATCTTTATACTAAAGCTTTTAATAATATAGGTTTAATAAATAAAAAGGTCTTACTCTTCTTTATTTAATATTTATTTATAAAAGGAAGCTTTTTCTCCTATTACTTAATTTTATTAAAGATTAAAGTCTATTTAATCTTCCTATATCTTACTAATCTAATTATAATTAAGATAAACTTTTCTAGAAACTTTTTTTAATTAGTTTTCTCCTATTTTCTAATAAAATATATTTTAAGCTAAGATTACTAATATCTAATTTATTTTAAATAGTTTTTCTTTTCTTATTTAGCTAGATTCTACCTCTTTTTTTTAAAAATTAAGATTAAGTTTAAATAATTTATTTAAGTTAGCTTTCTACTATCTAATAGTAATTAAAGCTTTTTTATTAACTTTTTAGTAACCTTTTAGTAATCTAATTCTTTTCTTATATAATTAGATTTTCTTAATAATAAATCTATAAGATTTATTTTTTTAAGATAATATTCTATTTTAAAATTAAAAACTATAAAGTCTATAATTTATTATAATAGCTTTCCTTTAAGATCTTTTACTAAAGTATTTACTATATTTTATAATATTTAATAATTTATAAAAACTTTAAATAAAGATATCTTACTAAAATAATAATATTAGTTTTTTAAGTTTTTAATAATAGTTAAAATCTTTTATTAGCTAGTAGCTTATCTTCTTTTAGTTTTTATAAGTTTATAAAACTAGAAAGTAACTAGATATTATTATTTATTAGATAATTAAAAAAAGATATTAAAGATTATATAGATAGAAATATTAATTTCTACTTAGGTTTTTTAATTAATATCCTAATATTATAATATTAAAACTTATATAAAAGCTTATTTTAGTTAATAAAAAGCTATTATAACCTCTTTAGTTTATATAAACTTTCCTTTTTTAATTTTATTTTAACTTCTTTTTAATAAAAAAGTAATTAGGTAAGTTATTATAAAATATTTAAAAATAAATTTCTAATAAAAATTTATAAATTTAAAAAAAACCTAAATATTTCTAAATAATTTTAATTCTAGCTAGTCTTAGATTAATTAAATTTAAATAGGGTCTATTTAAACTTTATCTTTTCTAATAATATAATCTAAGAAAATTATTTTATTTTAGAAAAAACTATATTTTTTAATATTTATATAAAGTTTTATAATATATAAATATTTTAAAACTTTTACTAGGTATTTTTAATAATCTTTTTAAGTTTTTAAAAAGATTAAAATATTATTAAAGTATATAATATAGTAATAATCTAATAATCTAGTAAATATATAGTATATATATATTTAAAATATTATAAAAGTATTTATTAGTTTAAATAATATAATAATATATTTAAAGTAGCTATATTTAATATAGAAAACTATTTTTTACTAATTAGACTTTTTAATATAAATTTAATAATAAATATTTTTTAAATTAATCTTTAAGAAATATTAAATATTACTTATCTATAATAATAATTTAGAGATTAGAGAAAGTAAATATTAATTTTTAATAGTAATATAATTTAATCTTTAATAATCTATATAAAATCTTAAAGTCCTATTTAATTTAAATATAAAAAAAATAAATATATTAATAAAGCTCTTTAATCCCCTAATCTAATTACTTTCTAATATTTTCTTTAAATAATATTAAAGCTCTAATTACTAATTATAAAATAAAAAGTAAATTAGTTTTTAAAAAAGTTATTTTCTAAGTTTTAATTTAATTATATATTTTATATTATTAAATATAAGGAATTTTTTTATTATTTATATAAAGAAAATATTTATAAATTATTAAAGTTCTAAAAAAAGATCTATATTTTTATTAATAATAATTATAATATCTTTTTTTTTACTTTTAGAATTTAATAATAAAATTAGAATATATATTAGTTTACTATTTTTCTAGTATTTAATAAAATATTTTAAGTTTTTTAAAATAATAAGGGAATAAGTTTAAATTTTTATAAAGTAATTAATTTAGAGATTTAAGTTTTATATATTTAGCTATCTAAATAGGAAATTAGAAATTCTTTTAAAGTAAAATATTTTTTAAAATAATTTAATATAATAATACTTTTATTTATTATTATTTTTTATCTAAAATTTTATTTAGTATATATATTAATATTCTAGTAGAATATTATTATATTATTTAAAAGTAGAAAATAATATCTAAATTTTAAAGTTAATTAATATTAGTTAATAAAAGTAATAATAATAAAATTAGTTTTTATAATAATATTAAAATTAAGAGATTTTAAAATCTATTTAAAATTAATTTAAAATTTTATTTTACTATAAAAAATAAAAATATATAAAAACTTTACTAAGAAAATATAAATAGTTTTTAAAATCTTTTTAAAGATTATCTTTATTCTTTTTCTAATTTATAATTAATATTAAGTTTTTTAATATAGTATTTATTTAAAGAAATATTTTTAATTTAATTTATATTTAAGATATTAGATTTAATATCTAAATTAATTAAATATTTATATTTAAAATAGCTTATCTTACTATATTTAAAATAGTAAGCTTTACTTCTTAATATACTAGTATTTTATTAATTTTAAATCTAGCTAAAGTTTATATAATAATATTTACTTTAATATAAAACCTATTTTCTAAGTTTAAAAAAAGAAGATTAATATTAAAATTACTTAATATTTTAATTTTAACTTTTAAATTAATTTTATAATTTTTTAAAATAATTTTTATTTTTAAGCTAGTTAAAGTTCTAATAATATTTCTTATTTTAGCTATAGATTTTATTTTACTTTCTTTTCTAATCTTTATATTTTTATTTATAAAATATAAAAGCTTATTAATAGCTAGCTTTAATAAAAACCTTTTAATAATTTTAGATTTTTATATTTTTCTTTTTAAATTTTTCTTATAATTTTTTATTAAATTACTAAAAAAAATCTTAAATAATAACTTTATTATTTTTAATTAGTAGTACTTTATTTAGATAAGATTTAAAATTATATTATTTTTTATAAAGTTTATTTAAAATCTAATTCTTCTATTTAAAGTTATTAAATATTTAATATATCTTTTATTATTATAATTTAAGAAATTAATAATTATATTTAATAAAAGTAAGGAGATTTTCTAATATAATATTTAAAAATATAATAATATATTATTTTTATAATTTTTAAAGCTTTATATTAATCTTAAATAAAACTTATTAAACTTTAAGCTTTTTAGATATATTATTTAAAAAAATATTATTTTTATCTTTAATAGTTTAATATTAATTAAAAACTTTATTTTAAATAATATTTTTCTTTAACTTTTTAATATAGTATTTTAAAGTTTTATATTAAATAAGTTAGCTAAGATCTAAAGTAAATAGTCTTTTAATAAGTTAAGCTTATTTAAGTTTATTAATTTATTAAAAAAGTCTTATATAAGCTTTTATAGTAAAAATAAATTTATAAAAAAGTAAAGAGCTTTTTTAAAAAATAAAGATATTTTCTATAATAAATATAAACTTTATAAATTAGAAATTTTAAATAATATTAAAGATAACTATTTTTTTAAATAATATATATACTAGTTATTTTTAAAATAAAAAAGATATTTTTACTAAAATAGAAATTAAAAAATTATAATAAAATTATTTATAGATAATAAAAAAACTTAATTAGAGATAGGCTTCTTTATATAGTTATAAGTTAAAAGGTTATTTAAAGTCTAGTTATAGAGGTAATAGATTTTAATTATAAAATTGTTAGTAAGATTTTAGCTTAGAGAATAAACTCTATTTATTCCTAAGCTTCCTTCTTTATTCCCTAAAAGCTTTATTATTTCTTTAGCTATCTATAGCCTACTTTTAAATTATATAATTACTCTACCCTAGCTTTTAGCTAGGCTGATTACTTTTATTACTTCTTCCTCTAAAGCTAATGATACTTTTAGTCTAGTTGTAGTTAGTTTGGAGTTCTTACTAAACTTCCCTACGATACTTCCTACAGTGCCTTTCAGTAGTTGCAGAACTGGCCTTCGAGTCCATTCCAAGTCCTCTCTGGCAGCACTCCTTACAGAAGTGCGGTGTCCTAAATGTGGAGGTGTCCTAAAAGGGGGTCCTCTGACTTAACCTTCGAGTTCAGATGCTCGCCAAGCGGAGCCTCGTCGCTCGGCTCTCCTATTATCTCTTCAAGTGCTGGAAATTTCTCTATCATTCCCTGCAGCGCCTTGATGGCCACTCTAAGCCTTGCGGCATCATCTGGTCTTTCCGTACTTGAGATAACGCTTCTGATATGCCCCACTAACAGCGTCCGCTCGGCTGATGGCTCTCTAATGATGCTAGAAATTCCCCGACTGATTGCCCTCTTGGCCCTCAAGTATTTCCCCCGAGCTGCGTAGATGAAGAGGGCAAGGATGACTTCGAAATAGTAAACTGGTGACGGGTCCACTTCGCAGAGTTGGGGGATCCACTTCAGCATCTGATCGTGGGCGGCTTGGGCGGCAGCAGCCTCTCTAAGCTTACTGGCCTGTTCTAGATAATAGACGATTCTGTCAGAAAGCCGGACAATCACGTCAGGAAATCCGTATCGCACAGCCACGTGTAGGGCTTTGATCGCCCCGCAGCCTAGGTTCCACGCCCTGCATGTGTTCCCCTCCTCGCTCTTCTTTTCCTTATCTTTGATAAGATTCCACATCTCCTCTGCTATGTCCGTGATGTGCGTCTTGTCGATTAGCGGGCCGCCGCCGTGGTTGATGATGTGTTGCCAGCCTTCTACGACCATTCGGGCCATTATATGCGCAGTGCGAGGGTTCTCGTCCGCTACCATGGCAACCAGGATCTCTATACACGCCGTCCCGAATCTCTCGATATTTCGCAGGCTGCCCAAGTCGACCCCAGTTGTAATATCATCCTGCAGCTCTCTCATAAACATCTCCAGTTGCTCGTAACTCACGTAACCGTTGTCGACGACGTTGCGCAAGGCGAGGGACCAGATCTTTGCTAGATTTAAGGATAACTGTGCCAGCCGTGCATCTGCCCTACGCCCTTTGATGGCGGCGGCCAGCAGCTCTACCCCCAGTTTCGCTCGAACCTTCGCCTCCACCATCTGATTTTTGCGGAAGAAGCCTCGAATTCCTCCACCCGGCAGGTCACCAGAACTTCCATCATCCGATCGCTGGCTTTTCCCGGGAAGGAAATGTGTCGGAGAGCACTCGCCCAACGCTCAGCTAGCAGCCGCACAATATCTTCATCTCCCAGCTCGATTGCCAGGGTCAGGATGGCTACTGCGCTCTTTGTAAGCACTTCCAACTTGGAGCTGGCTGTATTCGCCGCGTGAAGGGCAACGCCAGGTGTCTCGCGTTTCGCACCATGATTGCCCAGGATAAAACTGATAAATTCTGAGGCCTTTGCGGTGGACCTGACAAGCGGCATCAGCAGAAGATGGTAGAACCCGGGGTCAGAGGAGTTTCCAGACCCGCCGCCGCTTCCTTCGCTCACATCGCCGTCACCCATGTCATTTCTCGCCAACGCTACGAGCTGCTCAAACGCCATTAGCGCGAGCTGTGCTAGTAACTCGATGTCCTTGATTTTCCTTTCTCGGATCGCCTCCTTGAATGCGATGACTGTGATATTTGTGTAGTCTTCTAATACCGCTTCGTTGTTCATCATGACAGCGATCGTGAAATGGCGCAGCTGGCCCTTTAGTATCTTCGGCACCAGTGAAGACTGTCCATAATCTAGACCAGTCATCAGGACGGAGTTTTGGCGCAGTAGTTCGCACGTATTTACCTCCACGGCACCGTGGCTTCTCAACAACTGTTCCAGTTCCTTATTCTCGTTGGACTGTGCAGCTTCCAGGGCAGTACCGAATTGGCCCCCTGGCGCATTTACGTTGGCACCACTTCCCAAGAGAATCGTCACCACTTCCTCACTCTCTTTTGGGTGAGCGAACTTGTTGGCAGCGGCAGCGGCGACTTGCAAGGCAGTATCGGGACCACCCACTGTCTTGTTCGGGTCAAACCCCGCCTTGAGCAGCTTCTTCACGATTCCTGGGAGACCGTGAAACGCGGCGTCGTTGAGAGCAGTGCCATATTGATAGTTGCGCTGGTACTTCTTGAGTCGCCTGTCCTTGAGAATCTCGGCGACACATTTCTCGGATCGTCCCAATATTGCGGCTGCCAAGGGTGGCCCCAGTTTACTTACTACATTGACATTTGCGCCTTTGTCAAGCAACACGCGAACTATTTTGTCGTGGCCGCCGCAGCATGCGTCGATTAATGGTGTAACTGACTGGTTACCAATCTCCGTGTTTGCTCCTTTGTCTAGCAGAAGCTGCACAATCTCGAGGTCGCCCGATCTGACGGCGATGTGAAGGGGGCTGAGCCCGTGGGCGTCAACTACATTAACGTCGAAGCCGAGGCTCAGCAATGTCTCAACCATTTCTCGAGCTCCGGCGTCCTTCCTAGACACGGCCCAGTGCACGGCCGTCTGTTGCCGGCTATCTCTTTCACCCCGTCGCAGCAGGCCTTTCTGGGCGAAAGCACGGACAAATCCAGGGCTGCCCAGGTAGCTGACGATGTGGGTATTCTCGATGCCGTCCGGAAAGTGCCGGCGTGACCCCACTAAATGCGCCTGGAAGGACAAACGCATGTTGTCTGACCGGTCGGCGAACTTGGGAAGCAACCTTCGTATCTCTTCTTCGCCGGCATGAGACAAATGATGTGCCCAGTTAGACGAAGCATACCTGAATAGCGGCTTGCTTTTGGCCAATGCATCTAAATCCCCAGACCCAAACCATTCGACATTTGGGAAGGGCCCCCTGGAGAATTCCTGGAAGGAGAGATACGTGATGCAAATTTCGGCAATCATCCCGTGAGCATCTGGTAACCACTTATCCCTTTCCTTTACCAGGTATTCTTTTGTCGAATAGTGGGCTAATTGGACGATGTGGCCTTCGTCGATCCTCAGTAGCCCGCAGCATACCCTGTTGATCCTGTCCACGGTTGCGACGTTGCTTTCCTCAAATTGGGACATCGTTACGTCCACAGCGAGCGCCTGCCGGAGTTCCACTTCAGTTAACGGGGGTGTGGCGAAGGTAACCCACGTAAGTGCCTTCCTAGCCAATTTCTTTGGGCTTTCGGCTTGGTGGTTAATTCTCTCGAGAATTCTCTCATACGCAAGTGCCAGCGTTTCGGAGAGATCCTTGCCTTGTTGGAAATTGAGAAGCTGTTGTCGGACCTCCCACTCTGTCGACAGATCCTTCAACGCATCCCTATAAATACGAGCGAGGAGGAAGCTAGCACGCTGTCAGCTCATTACATCCGACAGGTATACGAAGATCGTCAAGGGCTCTACTTGCCACCCATCGGCTTTCCTAGTAATCTCAGCCTTGATTTCCTCCTTTAGGGCTAGATTTTTCTTAAACTTGTCTCCAAATTCAGCCATCCTACCGTCTAGGTAGTTCTGCACATCTTCGTCGCTGGCCCTAATGTCCAGCGAAAAGCACATGTATTCCCCGAAGAGCAGAGCGTCTTCTCTAACCCTAGAAGTAGCAAAGATGCACATGTCGGTCTCGGATTGTAGACTGACGATCTGCGATACGAACGCATGGCACTGAGCTGACGATCCGCACTCATCTAACGCGTCAATGACGACGAAGACTTTGTCGTACCAATTTCCTACGCGGCGAAAAACTTCAGAGAAGGTTTGTTGAGTGGACCGCGTGCCATCGCCCCGTTGGCCGTATGACTCGTATAGTTTGCGAGCAAACTGGAAAGTTTCGAGGGCTTCATCCGTATGCGGAAGGCTTAGGATTAGCTGCCCGAGAAGATTCTTGAGCAGACACTCGGGCTCGTGGTCTGATTGCTCCTGTTGGTAGTTCAAATAGAGATATGCGACGCCAACTTTCGGTCCACTTTCCTGTGGAAACCTACTATAAAGGTCCTTGATGACGGTCGCCGTGATGAAGGTTTTGCCGGCCCCAGGGATTCCGCTACAGAAAAGCGTAGCTTTTTCAGCTCCTAGCCATCCGCGATATTCTGGCGAGTCCAACAGCCATTTGCCCGTCCCATCTGATCTCCGGTTGATTGTTGATATCTGATCTACCTCGTAATTCTTGGGAGCGAGCCATTTGAACACCTCTTCACGACGTTCTCGATATCCTCTCACAGTCCTGCCGGGTAAGTCGTTACTTTAGTCTCACCACTAAAAAAGAAAAATCCGAGGTATCATTAGGCTAGGAAACACACCTTCGCTCGATCTGGAGTGCCATGTGGATATTCTTGCGGTATTGCTCTATTTCTTGGAGATGCTTCTTGGCCTTCTCTTCCGTCCGCGGCCACGTGATGATCTTGGCCATCCATTTGCGACGTTTCCCTGACGCTGAAGGGCCAGCATTGTCAATGTACGTCTCAAGGAGCGTGTCCAAACCCTCGAGCTCGCGCTTGCATGCCTCTACATCGCCATTGGGGATGGCTAGTGCTTTCTTCAGGGACTCGGACGCTGCTAATCGCTCATTGCCTAGACTTCTCATGTCATTCAGCAGGGCCTCCACCGAGGAGGCCGTATTCCGGATGGAACGGAGCAACTGTGGTGCGTTTTGAACAGAGTCTATGCGCCCTTTGATTGAGTGGCAAGATTTCGCAGACAGTTCAACAATGGCAATGATACTTGCCACGATGCCCAAAGCCTCAGCCATCGGTTAAGGCGTGTAGGGGTTGGAATTCTAGAAAATTTGGGTATTCTGCGGAACATTTTATGGTTCAGTTGCGGGGCTCCGGCACGTCGGCATCAGCTTCTTTCTTATATTCCCTATGACAGGGCGTGCACTAGCTCTTTGTGGTTGACATAGGGTATTATTTGTTGCGATTTGTTGCGACAGGGATATCTGCTGCAAGAGGATATCCGGGAGTAAGCTCGCTCATTGTGGGTTGGCGAAAACTGCCCAATGGAAGAGGGAAACCTCGAATCCGTGTGGCAATCCCATTACATATCAAGGAACATTTCCCGCAAGCGGGATGCCATTTTTGATTCGATGCATATGCAACGGGTGGCGCTGCACTAAGATATATTATTACGTGGCGGAAAGCCTGGGCTTAACGGCCGGGCTGACCTTGAGTGTGAACGAATCGTATTAACAGTTGGCAATGATAAGCAAATGATAAGGAGTATGCCCACCAGAACTAATGTCATTGGTGAGGAACAGAACAGAGCACTTTCGCCCAATCGGGCTTTCCTTTCTCCTTGGTTTTACGTCCGGGTCTATGACGTACGCCGCAACTAACCTCTGTGCCCACCACTGTTTCCTAAGACCGACCCTGTCGAGTGTCGCTGGGGACAGCCTCGTCATTAGCGCGCGTGAATTCATGCGCACTGACTATCCTCGTTGCCCAGCAGTATACATCCCGCTTTCTGTTTCGCCGAGTCCGTCTTTGTACCTCATGCCCAACAACGACGATCATGGACCGAGCCCAGACTTGCGGGAGGCCGTGCCCGCCAACCTCCCCAGGAGCCAAAGGGCGGGAACTTGGCTATATGTCATCTTGTGGATCCTCGACATTGGGTTAATTATCGCCGGTGCTATAGCTTACGGGCTCACGGAGACAGACTACGAACCGGGCCTCAAGCTGGTTTTTTCGGAGCTGGGGCTCCATGTCCAGCGCTTGGAGATCGCAATGGTTGGTGTCTCCAAGCTACCTTGAACTTATCCACTCTGTGAGGGACTACGACTCAGTTCGATACGACAGATGCGTTTGGCTTTTATTCCATTTTATTCACTTTTTTTCTTTTCTTCTTCTTTGGCTAATTGGTCTTAGGCATCGCTTGGCTGGTTCGTCGACTCTTTCCTCGTAGTCGTCCAGTCCGCCCAAGCCGATGCTGTACGCTCCGGAAGCGAGGGGAAGAGCGAGCTCTTAACCGCCGAAAGCACTCTGCTCAGAGTATTTTTCCCATGGCACGGTTTTGCCGCTTCTTTATGGGCCGTAGCTGTCGGGTTGCAGACAACATACGTTATCCGCCCGAACAAGCTTGAGGTATGCGTCGACCATCCTAGCTTCACGCCGTGTCGGTGCGTGTTCGCGAGCTGGGTCATGGCGGTGATGGTCCTGTAAGTCCCCCCCGGCTCTGGGAAGGATGGCATTCATAGGGTTTCAACAACTCAGCTTGCCCGGGAAATATCGGTTGACACTCTTGATACGCCAGAGCATCGCACGTAGGGATCTTGATTTGGGCGACCCATATCGTCTTTCGGTACCGGGTCTTACGGATTGGCGACCGCGAGCCAGTGGAGCTTCCGAATTCCTTGAACTTACCATGTCACGTCGTTTCCAATGCTCTAACGCTGCAATGCACTCCTTTAAAGGGCAGACACATCGGCGATACCGATCAGAACCACCAGGTAGTGGCAGTGTAACTATTCCGTTTTGTACCCTGTTCTATAAACGCGAATTTGATCATAGGCAAATCTTAAAGCTGTTCTCCGAATTGGTGCCAAAACTGTACTCGTATGAAACCCGGCACCGCGCGATAGGTACGAGGACATGCAAGGATGTTCAAGAACTAATTAAGTTCTGTGGTTGAAGGATTGTTTGGAGATTGTGTTCTCGACCGCGCACAAAAAGAGAAGGAGAAGAGGAAGATAATGCATTCAAAACAAGAATGAGAGAAGAGAGAACGGAGACTATTTTTACATCTCCGTCTGCCGGTCTTAACATACACATGCACAAAAACAAGAGAATCCTCGATGGTGTTGGGAATGGCCCAACGTGGTCCAACCAGGCCGATGGCTGGCTGGCGAAACTGGGATTTTGCTGGTGCACCTACGGAATCGTGATAGCGGCACAAGATAATGACTGGGAAGGCGAGTCTCAACCGATTTTAGCGGTCGGTAACCCTAACAAAAGGAAGAGGGGGAAGGACTTTCAATTTAATCCCTCCAGACCCCCCGGGATGGCTTGGGCACCTTCATTGCGCGGCCACGTTTGGCTTCCATGATCAGATCCTTGACGTTGTTAGTCGAGTTGCTGTTTTATGGCGCATTGATGCACCAAGTGGACTTGTGCGCACTTCGGCCGGTTCCATTCGATAATCCACGGGCACGGCGGCGATGTCACTGGCCGTAACAACGCTGACAGAGTCTAGGCGAGTCTCTATTCGAACGAGTCCTCATGAAAGTCAAGCGGACGACGATCGTCAACCAGATAATAGCACTAGTGGTTTAGTGGTAAAATTGGTCGTTGCCACCCGACGCGCAGCTTCGACTAGCCCCCGGTTCGATTCCGGGCTAGTGCATAAGAAGTCTTTTTGTTGCCCGTCTCATATGTTCTTTTGTATCAATTCTTCCTTTTTGTATTATTTATTTTTTTTTTTCCCTCTCTCCCCTCTCCCTCTCCCTCATTTTAGATGTCATGATCTCTTGCGATATCATTATTCAAGTCATACGACACCTCGACTCCCCCGGGCTAGAGCAGTTGTAGTTAACACTCGTTCCATCTAATGATTTCCCTCACTTCAGTAATTCCATGACCTCCTTGTGTCCCAGTTTCTCTGCCACTTCCTTCGGCGTCAAACCCGCAGGATTCTTCACATCCTTGCGTGCGCCCATCCCCAGGAGATGAGCAACGCATGCAACCTGATTGTGCGCCACAGAAACGTGCAAGGCGGTCCCCCATTTTTCGTCCTTTAGAGCGGACTGGGACAGTCTCCAGTTGTCGGGAATCCCGTTGACGTCTGCCCGGGCGGCCAGAAGAATGTCGATCTTTTTGATGTCCCCCACCTGGGCTGCGTTCAAGAGCGCACTGCTACACCTAATCTCCTCTACGGGGCTGCGTCCGAGCAACAGAGATAAAGTTTCAGAATCTCCCCAAAGAGCAGCGCACTCGAGTGGACTGTAAGAGTCGGCTTTGGCGTTGAGATTAGGGTCTGCGCCTTTTGACAAAAGGTACTTCACCAGAGGTATCTTGCTCATGCAGGCCGCCTGGCTGTTTCTGTGTCAGTACGACTGAGTTTTGGAGCTAGACCCGACAATTCACTGACGCGAGTATGTCTCCGAGGTGACTCCAGCAGTAGTTGACATCCCATCCACGCGATATCAAGAAATCAAAAGTTCTGATATTCCAGTTATTCGCCTCCGTGCTACCTTGGTTCAGAGCCACCCAAGAGTCTAGCTGGGAGCGGTTAGAAAGAGTTCGTCAGATGTGTGGTAGATGGAGAATACGGTTGAACACAAGGCACTGACCTGATCCAAACTGGTCCATGGCCGGAGGAAGCCCTCGATCAAAAAATTCGCCTGCAGCCTCGATGTTTCCCAATTTGAGAGCCGCATTCAATGCCGGTGTGAAATGAATCAGGGGATAATTGTGCTTTCCCTTGAGTGGCGATGTTGCTCCCGCATCTTCCCAGGCCTGGAAAGTCTCACGGATTCGATCGACGTCGTTTGCCTCCGCCGCCGAAACGAGCTCTGCAAGAAAGTCCCGGTTCCCGGCCGTGTTAGTCATGATGCAGGTTGTTACATTTAATTAGCGGGATGATTGTTGGGGAGAATAGGAAAGCAGAGTGCAGAACCGGGAAGACACTTGGTCCAGCTTGTAGAAATGTTGGCGATGATGTTGGGTGATTGACGAGTTGACCACGGCAGGCCGCATCACGCGGCATTGATTGCTGGCGGTGATCATCAAATCTCTGCTTATGTCACTGGCTAAGCTGACACCAACAATGAGAAGCAGAGCACAGCTTTCAGTAGAAACTGAGGGCTAAAAAGGGGTAAAAAAAAGGTGCGTCTATATTAGTTCCTCCCTAATTAGAAAAGAAAAGGGTTTTCAAGTAGAAATACCTAGAAATCAGGTAAACCTATAAGTTTATACTATCTATAGCAATATACTCCTACAATAGCTATATCTATAGTTATTGTCACGGGCTGACCTTTATGCAGGCCTAGAGCAGTAAGACACGGTAGAATTACATTGGCGGGACGGCTGCTCGCGGCCGCCCGATGGGTGATCGGAGGCACAGGAAATGATCGGTGGCGATCACTCCCGTGATTACACCGATTGTCAAGTGATCGGTTCTGATTGCTTAAGAAGGAACCCTGATCACCCTGGAGGAAAACGTCTATATCAACTATGGGTTCTACCATGTATCTAGTTTGCCTTTCAAGACTCTCCAGTAGTCAATTCAAGTATCACTACACCCCTACACTTGAATACGCACTTCTTATATAGTTATCGTGAATACTGCTTGACTGCCTCACTTATTTCATAACAGGCACCCTCGACCCTTGCACCAGCTGTATCCGCCTGATCTATCGTTGGCAGAGTGTTAGGATTGTAACAGGGGGGCTTTAACTTAAGATAAGCTCCTCTACAAAATTAAAATTAACTAGTAAGTAGTTTTCTACTTCTGCTTAAAGATATATAGATAGCTTTTTAAATAAGGCAAGGTCTTATTTATATTCCGTGGTAGCACCGGCGATTAAGACATATGTTATTTAGAATGCGGATTTTTTTTTCTTTCCTATTAAGGACCTTTTCAACCATGGTGGAACCTGCTAATATGAAATGAAACCTGTTAGGAAACACGTTCCTCCAAGCCCACGCAACAGACAACAGATGCTTGAAAAGTACATAAGAATCTGTCCGCCGTGAAGAGCCGATGACCTTAGAGGACCAAATGATGCCTCCTCGGCTCTGAGAGATTGTCAGGGGCACAGTAAGAAATGAGCGGTATGTAAGTAGTAAAAGATCATAGTTTTTAAGAAATGTGTCCTTCAGATAGTGGCGTCCGACGCCTTTTGCTTAACCCGAAACCCAACCTGCGGTAACTTACTCTTCAAGAGCAAACTACTGCAGATCACGCTGACGCTGCTGAGTGCCATGGCCAGACTAGCCCATACAGGATCCAGCCTTGTATGCTTTCCATTCACGACCACGGGGTAGAGCACCCCGGCCGCGATTGGCAAAGCCACCACGTTGTACACGAGAGCCCAAGCAAAGTTGAACTTGACTCGTCGAAAAACAGCTCGACTAAGACTCGTAAGAACTAGGAGTGTATTGAGGTTGGCATTGACAAGCACAAACTCTGCCGCCGAAATGGCAACATCAGATCCAGACCCAATGGCGATTCCCACATCCGCAACTGTCAAAGCAGGAGAATCGTTAACTCCATCGCCAACCATCGCCACAATGGCCCGAGAACGTTCTATTTGCTTGCCGAATAGCGAGTGTCGGGAGGGGCGCTTTGCCTGGCTCTTCTGGAGGTAGCTAATCTTGTCGGCCTTTTGCTCCGGAAGGACGCCTGCTATGATGTGGTCTGCGTCGATCCCCGCGAGGGCGCCGACAGCGCTTGCAGTCTTTTGGTTGTCACCGGATAGCATCCAGACCTCTTTACCCTGTCGGCGGAGCCCGGCGATGACGGACTGGGTCTCTGGTCTAAGAGGATCCGAGGTGGCAAAAATGGCAAGCATCCCCCAATGCGCGTCAGAGTTGGCAGAAACGGATCTCCCTGCTACTAAAACGACCGATTTGGCTTGGTCTTTCCAGGTGTCTAGAGTTGCCAGGGCTGCGGGCGCGATGGAAACGGCGGAATCTTCCATCAATTTTTCATTGCCAACAAGAAGCTCGACCGATGACGATGCGGATTCTAACGAAAAGGTTGCCTTCATACCCTTTCCGGGGACCTCTTCGATGCGGGATGATTTAACGCCCTGCACTCCTTGCTCATCGCAAAAAGCTACGACGGCTTTGGCAATTGGGTGGCTACTGTTGGACTCGATTTCTCTGAGGCAAGCCAGAATCGTCTTTTCTTCCCACCCATCTTGCTCTGAGCCAGCAAGGAATTCGTGGTCAGTGAGCTTCGGCTCCCCTCCTTCGGTGAGCGTACCGGTTTTGTCAAAGACGATGATATCGATCTTGCTAGCCTCCTGGAACGCTTCGCCGCCGCCCTTGGCAAGGATACCGTGCTTTGCAGCCAGTCCACCACCTACGAACAGAGCAGTAGGTGCTGCAAGGCCAATTCCACAGGGGCATGCAATGATGAAAACAGCAATCGCAAATTGCAGGGACCAGAATGGCCATCCGCCGACTGGGGCGTCAAGATAGTCCTGGGGCAGTCTCCCCGAAAGTCCGAGCCCGAGCCAAATAAGCCAAGTGGCGATGGCGATGGCAGTGACAAAGGGCACAAAGAACCCCGTGAGGATATCGGCTACCCTTTCGATGGGAGCCCGGCGGGCTTGACCCTCGCGGACGACCTTGATGATTTGATCTAGCATTGAGTTTCCCGAGGCGCCGGTGATGGTCATCGATATCGGCCCACCTTTGTTTACGGTGCCGGCGTAGATGGGATCTCCAGTGGCTTTGAGGATTGGTCTTGACTCGCCCGTCAAGCTGGCTTCCGAGAACTCTCCTTCTTTGCTAAGAATGACCCCGTCCCAGGGAGGCGATCCACCATGAACAACCTTGACCACGTCTCCGGTTTCCACCATATCGATACCAACAATTTCATATTGCTCTTCAGAATTAGGGCCGGCCGCTGAGGTCAACAGCAACGTCTCCTTCGGTCTAAGGTTTCCTAGTTCGGAAACAGCTTCGCCAGTCTTAGCTTTACTCCACGCCTCCAGGAGCCGTCCGATTAGGAGAAACATGGTAAGAAAGACGACAGAGTCGAAGTATGTCATGTTTTTCTGCATCTTGTGGTCATTGTCCAGTTGGGTAGCGGCGATGCTGAGTTCGGCAATTGAACCAAAATAGGCGATTGAGGTTCCGAACGACATGAGCATGTCCATGCTACCGAATTTGTAGAAGCGACGGAAGAAGGGCACGGGGCTGCCAGGTCTCCATAGAGAGTAAATCTCCTTAGCCATGCGGCGGTGGAATATATCGGCGGCGAAAAAGTAGACGGGGGTCGCCATGACAAGGAGGGACCACTCTGCCCGGGTGACACCGTGAAGTCGTTGCATGAGGTACCGTCGACCAGCGTTGCTCCTGGGGACGAGTGACATGTAGACAATACCGATGATGAAGGAAGGGATGGCGACAATGACGGACAGGATCACTCGGAACAAGATTCGCTGCTGGATGCGGCGATGCATCTCTCTCGCACGCTCCTCTACTGTAGGTGGATGATGGATAACTGGATGGAAAGCAGGGTCGGCGGACGAGATTGTGGCAAGGATCTGACGGATCGTAAAGTTGGGAGCGTCGGGGACGTAAGAGACGGTTGTGATGGGGTCTTTTGTTGACGACAGCTTTTCTATGGTCACTCGGTCGCCAAAGGCGTTGAGAGCTTCGCGGATCCGGGCGGGGCAATGCTCGCAGTACACTTCGTCCAGTCGAATCATCACTGTCCTTCGGGTACCTTGAACGGGGGCCCCTCCTAGTTCCCCAATTGTGTCGAGTGCCGCCTCATAGCCGAGGCTTTGGATCGTTTCAATGACTTGGTTAGAGCCATCTTTTTTTTCGATCACAACTGTGGCGCTGCTAGTAACAAGGTTGACGTCGACATCTCTCGTGAAAGGCAGAGCCTCGAGGGCAGAGGTGATGGAGCCTACGCAAGAGCTGCAAGTCATCCCCCCGAGAGCCAGAGAGAGTTTCCAGAGTGGAGTTCCTGATTGTAGCGCCGGCGAGGTCGATACTTGTTCAACCTTTTCGATGTCTGCTTCGTAGCCGCAATCTTTGATTGCCTGGATCAAGTCGGACGCGTCGTGCTCACCATCATACTCCACAACAGCACTCTGAGTGAGCAGGGATACGTCAGCGGACCTCACCCAAATTATATCGCGAAGAGCGGAAGAGATTTTGCCGACGCAAGAGCTGCAGGTCATGCCGCCAATAGTGAGTGAGGCTCTGTATGTCTTGATCGGTGCCGAGTCGATGACGACGAGAGAGTTGACTTCCTGTGTTTTGTCATCCGAGGAAGGTGCGTCCGTTCCAACAGACGGCTTGGCCTCACGGTTCTGCCGACGACATTGCTCGCAGTGCTCCGCGTGGCGTCGTCTCAGCGCATCGCGATCCGACAACGTTTGCGGATTTCCGAGGAACCAGGCTTTCGCTGATGATAACCATTTGAAGGGAAGGTCGTCGTCGGCTGTGCCGCGCGGAATATCTCTGGGCACTTCTCCGGCGGCGGGCTCCTTGAGGATTGTGTCGACTTCGTAGCCGGCTTCCGCGAGAATTTTGGCGATGGAACGAGCGCTAAGCGCAGATGGGTGTTGGAATGTAAGGGTGTGCGAAACGATTGAGGTTTCGACAGCGATGGGTTGGGGACGAAGGGAGAAGAGAAAATCATCTAGGAATGAGGCGCATGTGGGACAGTGAATGCTTGGGATTAAAAATGTGGTCTTCAAGACCGTGGTTGTTTTGTTTTTATCGGCCATGTTGGTGATTTGTGTTGTAAGAATCAGCTGCCCAGTATTGTGAATGTTGCGGGTTGAGGTTGTGACAAGTTTTGAGATCTAGAGACGCAACTGTAGAGTTTATAAAGAATTTTGAGGGTGCCGGGATAC